GTGCTAGAGTTGACTTCGATAAGTCGTGGAGGAACAAATCAAAGTAACCTACTATAGGAAAGTTGTACACATTTAACCAAGTCAAAATTTCTCAGGTGAGCACGACAAATGATTCGTAATGACGTATTCAAATCAGGACGACAGCGGGATCCGACCTCAGTACAATCGAATTACGAAAATTCCAATGTTTTATTAAGTTAAACTTTGCTTCGGCAGCTCTAAGTGAATTTATTCCTACTTAGTTATCGGCTCGGGAAAAGTCATCTTGCTAACGTTTCGGTAAGTTGAATAATTAAATTTGTCAGTGGCGGTTGACACGTCACCGGGTTTCTTCCAAATTTCTTGGGGCCGTCACGTTTGCGGCTCCCCCTCGGGCCGACGCCCCTTATTGTGTAATCTCGATTCTCTAATTTGAATTATTTATTATTTGATTTCACACTTCGGAAATATTTCGAACGCTTTATATTTTTTCATTTTCCATTTCATTAATGTATAAGTATTCTGATTTCTTTGTATCGAATATCGATTGGGTTTGTTGTAATTAAATCGCGGTTTTGTTCTGCCATTTGATGTTCAGATGAAACGACTTCTTCAATATGCCTTATTACAATGTTCAGTCAATTCAATTTCATTATTGAACTCTTCGATTGATGAAGGTGCTGCGTGTCGAATGCTCACACGTTTTCCCGCCGTGTACCCAAGAGAGCGATGAAGAGGTTTTAATTAAGGAGATGGACAAACGAATTTACTTTGACAGAATGAATATGACATTAACCTTTTAAAGAAAATTTTATCTTAGAGTGTTATAAGAAAGGATCGCAATAGTAAAAGCAAATAGAAACTTTTACTCTTTTTTTTGGAGGACTAGTAGATAAAGTATATAACTATACCGGACACATTTTCTTACTAATAAATCTCTATAACTATTGTCTGTTTTATTATGAACTGGATTCCTAAATGGACTTTATGGGTATTGAAGAAATGGGTACATGCAGTATACTCGTCAGTACTCACCTACTTATAAAAGTAAATACAAAGGGACGGGAGGTTAGTAAAACTACGTAGAATATGTATCGTACGTTCGGTAGCTTCCATAATTTCATTCATCTAATAACAGTACTAAATTTTTATATGCGCATACATTCGGCTGTGACGCATTGTCTGAAGACCGAACGAAGGACATAGGAGACTTGACTACTTAAACTTATATAACTTAGATTTTTTTTTAATTCAGAGGTATTACTGATTATAGTGTAGGTCATCCTAGATTGAAATGAATTTGAATTATAGTCAAGCCATTCTTAATCATTTTTGTTTGTGAATAAATATTGCACTGGTAAAAAATATCCCCACTACCACTAAGGATTCAAAATTATAACAGAATAAGTATATTTTTAATTTTTCTTGCGTAAGTAGGTCGCACTAACATAACATATTCTAATAAAAAGTTTAATATAGTCATAGTAGATATGTATTTGTAATACATTAAAATTCATTTCAAAAATCCATCGTATATGCACTGAGCATGTTAACCTAAGAGGATAATATCACTGAATTATTCAACAATTGGTTACACCGTCGCTTTAGTACACGTTTATCCATAGTTTTCCTGCAGCCGAAAAAAGGGGAAGATACATTCACTAATAAAAAGTTTTAACAAACATTAACTGACAAATTACGGTTATAAGCATCGCGTGATCATCAACCAACCCCAGCGAACCAATCAGAAACTTATCAGACCAAACCGAATTTATTTTATTACGTTCGAAAATTCGCGTCGAAAAGAGCAAAACGGGATCGAAGTAAACTATCACGTCGTTACTAATCAGCAGGCTTGTGATTCCGAAGTGATTGCTCTCAGAAAACAAACGAACGCTATAAAGAGCGGAAATCATAAGCCATCGCCCGAAGATTGCGTAACGCTATATAATAGCGGTGGAAATTCGACAAAATTTAAGTCGGTGGAGCATTAAAGGGGACTGTAGACAGCGTAGACGGTTAATTCACCCCATAAGGGTCGCAGTGGCGCCAAAGATCCTGCCGTAGACAAAATTCTAAGTACGATGTCTTGCCCCGGTTTGTACGACGCTTGTCGTGATGTTCATTTCACAAAGTGCTGGAATTGGCACACTGCGATATATTCCTAATTTGAATCGCATTCGCCTTGTGCAATTAAAATTGTACAGAACCGTCTTGTATAATTAAAATATTACATTCAAACCTTATTAACTCTGATACTTCGTTCTTAATAATAACAAAGAAGATAAGAAAGTTAGGGCATGGTAATTAAAATAGGAATGCGAGATGTACTTATTATACATTATTATCGTTCGAATACAGGAAATTTACTGTGGATGTGTGTAATTAAATGTGCATGAATGTGACCTGTATTATTAACCCGTTACGTATTGCAATTACTTACCTACTAGTTCTGAATCACTAAAGGATGTGTAATAATTCGAAATATAGTAGTACATAGTAACATGTGACGAACATTGCCAATTTTTTAATAAAATTTGCCAAGTAAAATACCTATGTTAGGTTTTTTCGTAAAGTATGCCCCCATATTTTTCGTGGAGATTTTTTTTTTCATAAATTTATAAATACACGAGCACAATCTCCACAGATTTATAGTAGTGGCATAAGATACGGCGCTTCATGTCAGATTATGTTCCTCGCATTCTTTGTACAAAGTACCGCATTCGGTACCCGTTCAATCTTCACTGAAGCGTGGAGAAATACGGCCGTATAAAACATAATATATACCGCCGAAAAAAAAAACAGGTAAATTACATGAAAAGCCACGAACGTGATGGCATAGTAGCAGAAAATTCGATTAACTTAGTTGCCTGTCAGCAAACTATATATCTTTACTGCCCATAAATTATATCCCTGAAATTATTATATCAGAAACATTAATATTGAGGCCTCTATAAAATAAACATAATATAGGGTTTACCTATAATAGTTTGCCAACATAAATAAAGTATCGATGTGAATTGGTACAATAAATTATAATAATAATCCTTGTTGAATTAAAAAAAATATCATTCAGCAAACCAGGCTTAACTAACATTATAATTTATCCATATTAAGAGTCGTATGAATATTCAAAGAGTCGAATAAGTAGTTTGAATGGGAATGATTGGCATTAGTCTTATAATTTGTCTTTAAATTCTATTAAACATGGCATAGTTTGTCCGGGTAGCATACCCAACAGAGCCTCTTGCTGAAAAAATCGTTTACGAGAAGCTGTTTTCAAGATATTAAAATGACAAAATATCTAAAACATGATACTAAATAATGTGGCGAATTGGTAAAACCTACTACAAATTGTCACGAGCACTCGTTTTTGAAACTCGAAAGTTCGCGTTGCGAACGGACCGAGATTTTATACATCGTTGACAGGGGCGTTCGAAGATCAACGCGAGGTTGTCACTTTTATAGCTCACGTAATTCATGGTAAGGGCTCTTGGCGACAAATCCATCAAAGCGTCGACAGGCCATTTGTTGCGTGTGTTTTCACGCTTGATAAATCGCGGGAGTTGTCCACATTTACTGGATTTATGTACACGTCCAATTGTTGTACATCACATAAACTTAATTGGGCACACTTAATAGGAATACGCGTATATATCATTAAATAATATATATTCGTCTACAGACTCTACAGCTTTAACGTTTCTCTTATAAAAATATTTTAATTTTTTGAAAATAAATTTTCTAGATCCACCATGAATTTCATATGACGTAGTTTAAAAGTCGGATCGGCATCCGTCAAAGTTTTCCATAATAAAACCGAACATCAATAGATGTATGGTATAGCCTGGGGTACCAGCATTCTACGTATACTGCGCAAATACAAGAAACGATTCCTTCCACCGCATACATAAAATTTGAGTGATTTACATAGTAGATAGAGGTATCCAAAATTTATGCATTCGAGCTGAAACCTTAAAATGACAGACATTCTTGTTAAACTACCCGTAAAAATCCGTTGGAAATGTATAAAAATGAATGATGTCGTACCTACTTTTTATTTCATGAGTAGAATCTAAAGAATGCACATATTTATAATGGAGTGGCGTACTCGTATAGTTACCATAAGTGGCAGTTCTCACAGGGCACGCAGATATTATTTATGGACTGTTTTATAGCGAAACTTCATTCGTTGCTGCGGTCGCTTTTATTCCTTCGACGGGAAAAAGTTGTGAGATTTTATTGCCGGTGTGAGATAGGACACGTTATTGCACTAACTTTTAACGGTAGCGGGAATTAAAATAGTTTTTTTTGTGGTCAACTTTGACCACGCCCGGATATCGGAGGGTCGTTGAAGTTTATTGCCTTATTTTTTAATGTTGCCTCACCTCAAAATTCAAGTATCTGTACCGACTTAAACAAAGAGTAGGTACATTATGTCATGGTACTATTTTAAATACAACAATGCGAACAAATTTCTTACTAATTAATAACTACATTATTCATCCATATAGTCATAGATATGGTTATTATTATAAATTGGTTAGGCACAGAATATTTTACCTACCATTGTATTTCCTACACTCATCATTTTGTTACACACTTAAATTACAATAATAAGTATAAGGAAAGTTAAAGCACACACATATTAAGGAAAATTACGTTTACCCTAAATTAATGCAATCAAGGAAATAAACCGACAGTTTCTTCTAAAATCCAATATCTAAATTATATCCTATTAAATTATAGTTACGAGAACAATTCGTCTAAAATTTTACGTAATAATATTAAATCAAGCGTTTATTCCCAGAAGGGGCATGTACCTAGAGATGCACTCATTCGTTTTCTGACAAGTGAGGTGCACTCATTTTTCCTCAACTATGTTCCAATCCCATGTAATGAGGTTGAACTTCTTGCAAGCTCATCAATCAGAACAGATTTAGAAAAATAATTATTCCAAACCTAAAATGTAGCCAGAGAGCCCCGAGCTTTCAATTTATTAATATTCTCTTTTTATTTACAGAATTCAATCAGACACAATCTGTCCCTTCACAATCGGTTCATGCGGGTACAAAACGAGGGTACGGGGAAATCATCATGGTGGATGATCAATCCTGACGCGAAGCCGGGCAAGTCCGTCAGACGACGGGCTGCATCGATGGAGACGTCCAAATTCGAAAAACGAAGAGGCAGAGTAAAGAAGAAGGTATGACATTAGATAATAATATAGACGAAATACCCCTTGTCATTGATGTTGTACATTTCATTTTAGATTAAACATTGTACTTATACGATTAACTAGTAACTGTTAAAAGTTATTTTGTATGTCTTAAAATTATCATCAGGAAAATAACACTAAGTAGCACATTGAAAAACATGGCTTTGTTTATAGGCTGAAGCATTACGAAACGGCGCACCAGCAGACGCCACCCCAAGTCCAAGTAGCTCAATATCAGAAAGTCAAGATATGTTCCCAGACTCACCGATGCACAGGTAACTAAATAACCTTTTATGTAACACAATGTTTCTTAGCGAAATGTTCGCAGCTTACAATAGAACTAGAACATTATTTAGAAATGTAGTACCGTTCTCTAAGTGATACAGGTAGATTAAAGTAGAGGAAAGTCCAAAAGAGTAGTGGCACCAAGCCAATAATGGTAACGGTCTCGGACGTTGTTTCACGATACTAATTTGACTTTAAAGGCACTATTACTTACCTATACGGGTAATGCAGAAGCGAGTTCTGCCAGAACCACAAATAGCCGATAGCACATTATTACTAAACAACGTTACCTCCTTGGGAATATTGAAATTTTACGACTAATAGAAACAAAGTGAGCAACGCATGATACGCTTACTCTATAATAAAACCATCGACATAAATCTGCGTTGACCAGACTAATAAAATTGAGTTATTGCAACTCTGCTACTTTATGATAAAAGGTTTTAAATCATTCACAACCATTAGATGATGAGTTATGTGGATGCTGAATCTCGTCATTTCGCCGATATTTAACATTTTTATAGGCGATTTATTTTATCTGGATTACGAGCGTCATCGACATATATTTTCAATGGTTCGGTGAATGTTGAAGGGCCGGTCTATAACCCGTATCTTATCCCACATTTTGTCACTATTTGTAGTAATAAAGATATTTCTGAGATGACCGCTGAACCCCGTTATAGTCACCGCTTCATTTAGCATACAAATTTATTTGTTAGTGAAGAAATAGGCATTAGATTTGCATGCTCCCCATTACACTTCTTGTTTGAGATTGTATAGAGTCCGACTTAGCTTTAAGGTTTATTTCTGCTAACCATTATGATTTTTTGCGTCTCAACTGTCGATAAGGAAATTATGTGTCTGTTTGTACATTTGAATCTGAAGTTATCACATTATACTTAGTTTTACGTCAGATCACATAATTCACATCGCCAGTTAAGATAGGTATCGTTTTTTTGATTGCTTCTTTCGCTTGCGCGTAGCAGTTTCCAGTTGTCGCCGGACTTCCGTCCGAGGGTGTCTTCGAACGCGTCATCGTGTGGCCGCCTGTCTCCGATCCCATCAATGATCCCGACAGAACCTGATTGGGGTCCAGATTATGCTGACTACACTACCAACGATTACGCTCAAACGGACTTCGGACAAGACGAACTTGCTGGCTCTCTCGCCGATTCCATGAAACTGGCAGGAACAGATCCATTCCTTAACACGTAAGCATTTTGTAGTAAGCCTCGCGTCGGTGAAGGAATTTTGGTTAGAGTCCAAAAGTCCGACCTCGACCACTTAAACAGTTATTATCGTAAACGCCTTGCCCTAGAGTACGCTTCGCTTTATTTAGAACTCCTTAGATTCTTTGATTTTTTCAAGACAGCAGACTAAATATTTAGACCTATGCATTTTAAATTGAAATGAAAAACAATTTACGACCTCAATACGCTTAATAATGGTATCGATTATACTGAATGTGAGAAGACTATTAAAGAACTATAAATGAAGCTTAACGTCTAGCTTCCAGGATAGTGGCATTACACGACTGTTTTCACCAGGTACGTTCCAACAACCACATCTTCGTCTTCGGGGGGCAGCTACCGGTATAGCCCTTATAGTGGGTGTCCGCGACACCCGCACGGGGGCTGCACGTGCTCCCTGTACACGCACCCCGCGCACCCAGCTCATCCAACGCGTCCTCACCAACATGCACTTGATCATTTCGTCAGGCCGCCACCTCCTGCGGACCCTGCTGATATTATGCAAACAGGTGAGGCCTGATAGTCTCAAACTTATGTACCCATATGTAGTTGCTATAGAATCCATTGAGACAATCTGAATGTGCTTTGTATTTTAAAAATTTTTCTTGTACAGAAAACAATCAGCCGCAAATGGTGACGACCTCAGATGCAGCCCTTATGAACGGCGGCATGATGGTACAAACAGGAGCGATGGGGCCCACCACAGTGATGGGTCAGATCATGGGCGCGTTAAACACGGGGCTCTCGGAAGACCTCAACATTGAGACCCTCGACCACGCATTCGACTGTAATGTTGATGAGGTAAGGTTGATCCTCGTGTTATACTATTCATCTAAATGTTTTACGAGTTCAATCAACAAGTATGACCAACAATCATCATAAGCTGCCAATTAACATACAATAATTTTGCCATTAGGTCATTAAACACGAGTTAAGTATGGAAGGCACGCTTGACTTCAACTTCCCGCAGCAGCACAGTGGCATGGCAGCGGAGGCTGAGAGCCAGTTTGCTGCGCCCGCGCCGCCTGTCCCGACCACGTTGTCGGGAGGCAACGGGGCTCGAACGCCCTACTCCGTCGCCCCCTCCTGGGTCCACTGAAACACGCCACCCGATAATTCGGACCTCGGACCAGTTACCTACTTACATGTTCACATTGTCCACTGTAAATACGATGTGACGCAACTTTTTCCTCTTTTGTTACTTTCGCATTGTAGTCGAGATTTTTGTTCATTTTATCATGTTAACTAATGTTAGAGTTTTATTTAGTGTTAAGTGGACGGTTACCGATCGTTGTTGCAGTCAATTGTGTTAGTGTAGGCTTTAGTGCTAAGCTAGGTGGAAGCTTGTGATATAGATAGGGTATCGTAATCCGGATTGTGGACCCTGGAGGGCGGCGGGCGATGCACCGCACGTGAATACATGTGAAAGGTAATCTCTTCTTGCTTACTATGATACGTATACTAGATACACTAATCTACGTGTTCAGATCTAATAGATTTCTTTGAGATATTTATTTCAAGATATTTTAAACATTTTACAGTTTGCTATAAAATGTAACTTTATGATGATAGTAACATTAAATTGCATGGAAAATACGCTAACGTTGGTAGATGTAATGTTTAAACATAAAACATTGCGAATTATAAACGCCATAACTTCTTAATAAAAAATGAAGACAGGAATGGTGAAAAGGAGAATGAGAAAACGTTTAATAGTACGGCGGTAATAAATCTCGAATATCAACGATAATAATCTACTGAAGTTCTGCAACGAGAGGCTGATAAGTGCCCAGCGTCGGCCAACGAAACTTACCTAGGTATACATACAACACCACGAACTTTTATTTCGATTTCAATTCAACACGAATAAAATTTTGATTAGGTAGTATTAAAGCACCATTGTAATTACACAATTATTTAAGGTACGAATTTCAAATAGCTTTTAATTTAAACAAACGCTACGAACAAAGTGCATAAATATCGTAGCAAATATTTTCTTTTGTACGACCCTGTTCATACATTTTTATAAGTCCATGAGCCTCCCTTATGCCAGACATAAAGAAAGAGTACCACTAGTATACCAACTTTTTCTCTATTCATAAGACAAATACGCAAAAAAATCAGAGCATAAATGAATTTTCCCTTTTTACGACTGTACCTAAAAACAGAACCACAAAATATGTAGTTTTCAACGTACATTCTCGCGACCCCCAAATCTGCAGTAAAGAACGAATTTCTTGTCACATTCATATTTACGACATTAGGTATTACAAAAGATAAGTACGTCACTCATGTTTACGTTTCTTTGTACGTGGATTATGAGACGTGATGCCTTCTTTATTTATGTAAGAAGCAAAAGAAAAGTCTTAGGTGTACAGTCATATCATTTGTTTGCAAATTATATTGGCCTATGAATAATTTGTTGCCACTGTAAACGACTGAACGTGTTAACGTTTCTTTTTCAAATCTTGTGACATGCTCACTCTTATATTATTATTATTATCAGGTTATTAAATTTTATAGCGACGCTAACGTCTCTTAACCACATAAACACTAAAAATATTAGCCCTAATGAGCCCAATAAAAGTGATTTAGTGAATGAAGTACCAGCCTTTCATTCTTAGAAATCATAACTCTAGTCATATAACCATGTTATTAAATGTGTTATTCTAATCCACAATAATTTAAACAACAATCATAACAAAACACCAAAATGCCGGCGTTTATTTAATATGAATAATAATTATAATTAGAGTCCTATTGAGTGTGGTTTGCCAGCGTTCAAGATTCAATTTCACCATTGAGCGATCCTATTTGTGCGCTAATGAGGGAGACCGGAGCTACCGGTACTCGTAATTAATCATATCATTTTAGCGTAAACGGTGCCCGTCGCGCCGCGTCGAGCGATCGCCTCCGAATAATAGAATATCACGAAAAAATCTCCAGAACACGATGCTGGATTAAACCCGCTTCGGTAATGACTTGTTTTTTAGGGTTACAAAAGAATGAATACGTCCTCCGCAGACGGTGAGCTTGCGGTGGAAAATATCTTGTTAATTTTTTAATACTTGGACACGACGGAAAGTTAATGGGGGGTAAAGATTCCGGATCGAGAAACTCGATTTTAAGACCCGAACGTGATTTAACTTTTCATTTGGCACGCAATTACGTAATGGGGGTTATATTCTTGAGACGACTCTATAAATCGTCGCGAAATATTTTTATTATTATCATTTATAATATAATTTAAGAACAAATGCACACTTCGTTAATTTTGTATTCCGTTCTTCTGACGAGTGAGTTCGTGTGCCAAGACATCGGTCAACACTCGACGATTTTATTAACGAGCTGATTTTCATAAAGTGTCCGGGAGTCGGGAGAAGACATCGTTTAAATTTCTGAACTCATCCGGTATTCCATTCGGCTAGCTGCGTAATTAGGTACGGGCCCACCTTTACACACGATTTCCCGGCACTTGTTAAAAGTTTTCAATTGCGTTAGGAGGGGTCCTTACACGGAATTTATTCATTATATTCTCCCCCCGCCCTTCTACTTAATAAAAATCTCCTTTGCTCTTTTTATACCCAAGTCAGTGTTGCCTTATAGGTAAGTACTTTAAATATTTGCCGCATGGCCTCTCTGATGAGTGATGAATTATACATTTATTTCAGAATTTTTATTACAGTATTAAGATTTTCATTTCCATAACTGACTTGACAGATATGACAGCTTGTCATTACTTAAATGGATAACTATTTACTGCATCGATGCATTGGTTTACTTTGCAATTTATTTTTGTCACCAAGTTGCTCCGAATCGTAAAGTATGTAAAGGAATAAAACGTTATAATCTCTCCAATCACCAAAGATTCAAATTACCTACTTACCATTATTAACAAGTCTAAATAACCAGAAAATATTATGTTTTAGACCATTACAACTGATGTTCTAAAAAGACATAGAAGTTTAACTTTATCAACATAAAACATTTTATTAAAAAAATTAGTTTAAAAAAGTATGCACGAAAAAGACCAGGCCACATCGAATCTCAATTTACGTAAGAAAAAAAATGCGATCAATTCAAAAGTTGCGGCTCAATTTTGACGTTCAATATAAGTCTGGAGGATGAACGACGCATATCGAATAAGTTGTTAGCTCTTTATTGTTTGACAGCTTGCTAGAGAGTTTGATCAGTTATTTAAATGAGTGCCAACATAGTTAGGGATGTCAATTTTCTTGAGATTTACGTGACTACCTCCCCCCAGCCCTACTTACTTGGAAGCGTAAATATTCTTTTCTGCTTATTAAAGTCACGCCGCTACTACATTAAGTTTCTCGAACATTTCTGAAGTTCCGTTGACATTTTGAGATTTTTGATTTGAATTTTAATAGAATGGCTCTTTTCAAAGTATCAGAAAAAATCTAACAATAAATTATGTTATTAAAAAATTACGTTATTGTGAATTATGGTGTATTTGCTAAGTAATCTAAAATTATATTTAAATAATTATGTTTCTTAAAAGTTTAGTGACTGAGTAGACTCAGTTTATTTCCATATATTTGTTTAAAATTCACTATAAATTACATTTTTAAATACTACTTACAAAATAATATTTAAAAATATAAAAAATAGGGAACATGGTCCAAGCTACCGGTGGTTAGGGCTCCAGAGACAGAAACCTCCTCACGATACTTTCCGTTTCTAGAAGAACTGCCTTCAGGCCTTTGATCCATCCACCTAACGCCTACCACCTATTTTTTTTTAATTTAGATGTAAAACAACCGTTAGTCTCTAATCGTACTAAAACCAGTATCAGTTCTACCACCTCCGTGAATAAAGATCAAATGGTTCCAAAAACTTCATTATTCTTCAAGAATATTAGAAAAAAATGTTCAAGGGTGTATAATAATTTCGCGGCGCTCTTTTAGCATTCATCGTTGATGTCGACCGTCTAAATTGGATTACGTGTTAACTGTCTACAGAAGCACGCCCCAAGCTAACGATTTTATGATTTTATTGCGGAACCCCTAAATGCGTTGAGATTATGACGATACAAATTAGGACGCCTCACATTTTGACGGTTTTATCCAGTAAAACTTTTGAAAGGGCAATTTGAGATTTAGTTAAGAAAGACACTTTATTGATGTTATAATTCAAAGAAGAAGTAATATTAATTTGAGAGAATAACTATAAACTTTTTTGTATTTTTATATAGGTATCTCTCTGATACCTATAGTACAACACTATGAATATGATGAATTGATAATTAATAAATAAGTAGGTGTTAAAATTATAAAATAATGTTAATTTATAATTTTCCTTAATTCGGAGCCTTTGTTAACACAATTTATAAATAGCCTAGCACGAGGTTTTATGTCGATTATCCTCATACGACTATTATTGGGAATACAATATGGAGTCGATTGACAGAGTAAGATGACCTAATACTTGTAGAATGCTACTAATATTATAAATACAAAAGTTTATGAGGGTTCAAGTGTGTTCACACACACACACACACACACACACACCCAAACTTACATAGGAACTTATTTATTTCCAGAGTAAAAAACAAAACACACACGTGTTTTTGTGTGATCGATAAAATTTGGAATCGAGGTAGATTATCGTCATTAACAATATATAGAGACTTTTTGTAGCCCGGGAACGCAGACGAAGCCACAGGCAGTAATTAGTTAATCATAGTTAAACGACTGTCCTTTTGTAAGTCAGTTGTTTTGTGACAGTGGTAATTATTATACATTGTTGCACTTCATTGTTAACCTATAATTAAGACTTTAATTTTCATTAAAACACGTCTCCAATGTTATTTTCCTACTGACCCAATTCTTAAGTCATAGCGTAAAGTTGGGTATGACTTCCGAATGAAGCTGAAAGTTGCAACAACTATCTTTGTTAATCTAACCATGATAGTCCAACATCGTCAACTAACAACAACATGTTCAGGGTTTTCTGAAGTTTCACTACACGTGGTGCGATGGGCGTTGGGCGTCTCCGCCCCGCCTTCATGCAACAAGTGACTCGTCCCCCGCCCCCCGCACCCTTCCAGAAGCCAACGGGGCCGTCGCAAAGACAATCCCATTTTTTATTCCCATCCCATTGACTACAATACTTTCGCAGTAAAAGTAATTGGTAACAACCCGGTCGTTTCGACATGAAACTGATACGCCATGAAAATCGACTTTTCATTTCGGTTTCTTCAACCTTCATGTAACGTCTTATGTCTGGCAACTTATTTTATAGTCGATGATAAGATTGCAACTTGTAATCTCATTAATACAGTTCAGATGACTTTAAACACAAGACGTATCAAACTGTAATGAGGTGAAGTCGACTACGTGAATGTTTTCATTCGATAAAAAATATTTCAACTTAATCTAGCCGACCATCAATTATGGTGAGAATTTTTATAAAAATAAGGGTGGTTAAGGTACCATACAGCGATAATTCAACACGACAGACATTTATCTTCCTTAAATAATACAATGAACAGTACATATTCCAATAAATCTTAGAAAAATTCCCTCCTCCTCCTATAAAATTTTCACACATAATAAATCTTAAACTAACTTCACTACCGAATGCTTTCAACAACACCCATACATATCTCCATCATTACATAACTATGGCGCTTAAGCGTGTATTTAAAAAATACTCAGCATGTAACAAATGGGCCCTAGAAATCGGCGCGAAGGAAGTGTGCCCTAAATAACACAAGAGTTAAGAGGTCGCAGGGCCCGCAGTATGAATAAATTTGCGCCAAACACCGCCCCGCCTCACCGGATTCTCTCGATAACCGACGACGCCTATGCTTTATAACCCGTGACATCCGAAACTCGATTTATTATCACACTGTCAGACTGGTTGAAAAAAAAATCGAAAAACTTTTGCTAGTTCGGTGCTACGAACATACCGCTCGGATTTTGTAAATTGATCCGCACTTGTATTGGTTGATTTCAATGAAAATACGTTAAGGAATCAAAATATATTTCACTTCATTAGTCAATTAACGTTTTATAAGGTTAACAGCAAGAATCAAATAAAAAAAAGAAAAATCTAGTAGTAGAGGATATCTCGTAGCCGTTCGTAGCACTTGCTACGAACTCTACGTATATTAGCCACATCCTTCAAATTCGCAAATTCTTTCCGAGTGCGGATTAGCTACGCGCTACGACGTAGCACTGTTCAAATACACATACATTAGTAAAATTGTAACTTATTTTATCATTAGAACTTAGGATTCGATATAACGATAAAGAACTCATTTAAGTAATTGCACTTGATTATAGCGAAAATAATTGCAGGCGAATTCCTATTGTTGGGCACATGACTATGAATAAGAAAAAGATAACAAACCACGACCATACAATCGCACTTCGCAGTAGCTGTATTGTATACGTAAATATATAATACATACAACTAATACCTACTAATAGAATAGAATAGAATAGAAAACTTTTATTTCAGACCGGAGTCCATAACTAATACCTACTTCATAATATACTCGCAATATAAAAATATAAACAAAAATAATATGTTGAACAAAAAATTTAAGTAACGGCATTCATGGTAAATTTTCCACTTTTTAGTAATTATTTCACCCTCTTGTATCGTACCGAACCTATTACCATACACCTAGATTCTTAACGCAATTATTGAAAAAAATCAAAATACAGAAAATGCCTGAATCTAAAATATTATAATATAACAAACTGATCATACCTACTTTATTTTCACTGCAACGATCTCATACAAAACGTATACATATGCAACAATAATTGTCTACTGCTGACACACGACAGTTAAGTGCCCCCTGCATGTCAGCTGTCATTCATACGACTACCAAGGTCACTCAAACAGCAATTAATACGAGTGATTCGTGAATTGATCATTATTCTAGTCTACTACACAGATAACCTATTATAGTTTTCTGCGTGTTAATTACAAATATTTCTATAATAAATTATTGTTCCACTATTCCGATTTTATTGGCTGTAACGTATTTAGTATCACTTACATTGCTAATTCAATGTGATTTGTAAAAATTTCTTTGGTTTTGGGGATGGTGATGACATTTTTTTTTTTTTAATTATGTATAGAGGTAATGTAGGTAATAGAGATCATTAGATTTGTTTGACAAAAATGAGATTGACTCTCTTATAAACAAATAGTGATAATGAGACAATTGTTCTAGAATAGAGAAGCTTCGTTGTTTCATTTTAAATAGAAATGGATTGCTCTTTAAATAGAAAGGTACTAGGAAAAAAACTTTTTTCCGTGCAATGCTAGTAAATACACTCCTACGCTGTCTAGAGTGCATTAATTGCTGTATAAGAAAAATAAATACACTACCCAGTAACATTTCTTTACTTTATACTTAAAGGAAAACTCGACACTTTTCTAGAAAAATACAACACTACTTCAGTATATACATATTAACGTTTTGCGCCATCTTTTACGATTGAAAGCCATTAATATCGACTACTCGATGAGAATTGAGAATTAAATAACTATATCGATGTAACATTATCTATGTTAAAACTCTAACTTATAAAAATTAACGCTCTTAAACTGCACACAAAAATATAATTAAAACAAAATTCTATTTTGCCAAAACCATTTAATTCTGCGACGAGCTTATTTCGAGATAAGCATACCAATTATCCACATCACATATTAAGAACGCACTTATTCTGAGCAATGAGTCACGCGAAGAGAAAGTCCGTTACATCGCTGAATATGCGACAGATTTATCGCGGTTTTATAGTGGTGTCGCCCTATTTCTAAAAAAAACTATCGATAAAATTTTCGATTGAAGGATTCCCCCTACAGTGACAAGTTTCAATTGCGTAGTTCCTTGTAAACATCATCCCAACTCATTCGCTCTTGAATATTAAATACCATAAATTATCTAAACCCATTGACGTATTATGGCATTTTCCATTGAAATATGACAACTAACGAAGGCCAAGAGACGCGTCTTGTTAATGTAGAAAACAAATAGTGTCAACACTGTTTCGAAAACTAACATTTTTTATTCTTCCACGATCAAATAAAATAACCGACGTGTCAGTAGCAGTTGCTAATTATGCAATTTATCTTAATTTTCGCAAATAGTACAATATGACAATAAAAAATTTAGTCGATAGTTGTAGTGCAACCCTAAGGGTCGTCACCTGCGAGGCGCGGGGTGCGGGGCGCCGCAGACTTGGCGTCGCTATGGCGGGCAGGTTACGATTTACACTCCACCAACTCAGCAGAAACTCTGCCCGGACGAGAAATGCTGATAATCCACATCCACAGACGTTGCGCGAGAATTAGATCGAGATTACTATGATACCGCCGCACCGTGAGACGGTTTTATTACTCCTACACATTTAATTAGGATGTAAATTGATGGTTCACGAATATACTCGTGGTTTATTTCTCTCCAGATTGATTCGATGTCTTCTACTTTTGCTTACTTATATTTTAAGCGAGTTATTTGTAACTGTGTTAGTATTCCTATTTATAAAACAGTCAACTAGTACAGCCACTAATTGAGAGTCGTAGTGATCGTGATCTCTGATTGACTTTAATCAATTGGTTCATTGATGCGAGGAAATAAATGATTGGAGTTATGAATGACGATCTTTCTAAAGGGCACGCGTGTTCTCATTCATGACATACCAAAGATAACGAATACAATCTTTGTACAAGACAACGTGATTATATTATAAATTTAACCCTAGGAAAACTACTTCTTGTTACATTTTAATTAGGTCATTTTTAATTTATTTATTGTGCTTCAAAACAATGAGGCAGTGATTTATTAATTTAGTTTGGCCATCAATTTCATAGCAACATTTTAAATGAAAGACTTTCCTTTTTCAACTTTTATTTTCCTTGTTACAGATTCGAAAACACATCGGCAATCAGAGATACCTGCAGTTCCCTGAACCCGACATGATCTAATCACAACAGATGAAAATTGAACGTGAATGCCAGACGGCAATTTGCCTTTTTAGGCAATTCAAAAGAATACAACGATTCATCACAATTACGAACCAAATTTAAGAAGACCAGTTGAATCATGGAGACTGATAAGTGTTCTAAAACTATTATTGGCAAGCAAAATTGACGATCAAAGTGACATTTTTCGTGATATATTAGACATTGAATTTTATTTTTAAGGTAAATGTGACCTCGCGTAAATGATCAATGTGTAGTTTCAAGATTAACGGTGTCAGCGACTTTTGTGGTTGAAACGGACTTCGGAGTCGGGTGGTGCAGTGAGGATGATGCCTACCCCCTCCTGCATCTACTATAGTGTTTAGTAACTTAAGTACATACCACATCTCAGTGTGAGGAGGCACATCTGACTGAAAATGAATTACTTCTGAATGTATTGTACCGAGAGTTTATTCTATGTCTGAAATGAATCTATGCTTAAATAGTCTATGTCTATGGTAATTGAATTTTATTGTAATTGAATTTGCTACGGAACAAAATGTAGAAAAATAATTTGACCAAATCATTTCTGACGTTTATGTTTAAATGAATTGAAAACGTAAAGCTGTATGAATTATTTTGGGATAGTTAAATTCGCCTTTAGTTTATCTGAAAACGTGTGTTGCTATTTATAACATACAAAAACCTCAAATTAATTCATGCAACCGCTTATTTGGCCAAGTTGTAAATTAGTATGCGGGTCAATATTATTTATAATTATATATCTACCTATTTAGTAAATGCCGATTCTCTGATGACCATGATAAATGACAGGAAGTTGATTAAGCCAAATATGAAAAATGAATATGGTATCCATATTGCCTCCTGTTTTTTATTATGACGATTTAATTGATTAAAATTACGAACTTTTGTCAACAACAATGCGATTTATTGTAATCAATAATGCCATAATGTAAATAGATTTATTTTATAGTTACATTTACCTACACATGCGCCATTAATTACCAAATACCGTTATTGTAATTGCTCAACGTTACATAATTTTATATAGACGCCAAATTCAGAACGGGCTTCATTTTTCCAATTTGATATAGTTACGACGGGCCCTAATGCAATCTGTATAGTTAATGGTACGACTGGATAAGTTTTTGTTGTATAGATTGTGTGTAGACAATAAACTGCTTCAGTAGTATTATTGACTATAAGCGTTATATCATATTCGAAAGCCAGAGCTTCAAAGTATTGCTCTCAAGTACATGTCTGCTAGTTGTCTCAAGATAGTGTGTATGTTATTACGCTCATTCTACAATGTTTATATCTAATAATACACCAGGAGACGTTAGAATTTGTGTCTTATAAATGACGCACAAACAAAATCTGTTTTAGTCAAATATCTAGTCCCAGATATTATTTTTTTCAGTAAGCTACTTTTCAGATATATAAGCAGAATTTTACTCATAGATAAGCATTATTGCGGGCTAGCCCATGTGAACTGTAAACGTAGCAAAAATGAGTTCATTTTGTAAATTACCTCAGTGGACTTTTTGTGATAGATTTAGCCAATAAGTGTTCAATTTAGTACGTGTATCGTATAAGTCAATTCATATACTTTTGGCGTCCATTTATACATATGTGTTTTAAAGACAAGTTTCAGATTTTAGCATTGTTTTTCGAAAATTTAAATTTACGCGTGCAATTGATTAAACATTCACAGCTTGTATACTTTATTGCGTATATTTGCAGCTGTCATTGGTGCTATAGATAATATTATATTTCAGCATTTAGTTTCGTAATCCATTGTGTAAATGACGTACAAAAAAGGTAAATTTAATTCAAACACCACAAAATTATTTAGTTGCACGTTTATTGTTATTATATGGTACACAATTAGAGAAACAAAATTCAGTATATTGACGCGAGTTGTGAACACATATAATTTCTGTAAATGTTTTTAGATAGGTAATGATTAAATTTAATTTTGTGTGACTTAAAGTCAGTCGTGCGGTCAGTGGATGTTCGACATCGACCCTACCTAGGTGATGGGTTTCTGATAGTAACCATTTGCCAAATATAAATACGTAAAATCCAATAACAAAATCGATTATATGAATGTATGTGTAATCGATATTAAATCGTTAGTTTGTATTATGAGTGTTTAGATGAGTAATTGATTAGTCTCTTCGGAGGTATCTCATGAATTAGTTAAGGTTGTTAGTTAATATTATCTCCTGGTTGTTGAAATGTAATATTACGATATACAATGTGACGAGGCGTATTTATGTCAATCCATGTGGTCAATTAAATATGGACCGAATTAAAAGTCTGTTCCATTAAAGCGTAGCGTTAATGTGAATGAGTGAACACAATGTAGTTTGGTGTTGTGCTTTTAGCCTTGGTTTGCTGAAGAAATAGCTTCGTGGCTTAGAACTATGGTAGTTAATGTGAAAACTATTAAAATTTATTTGATCAACATACTTAATTAACTAAATTTCAAATCTGAATCGAACCTCTTTAAATTTCGCTCTGAATGTTTCTATTTACCTTTTTTTAATGTAAAGAAAAAGTTAAATGGAAATCTTTAACGTTGTTAGCAATTTACTTCCAGATTCAATGAAACTGTGACTAGAGGCACACAATACGGGTTAGTTTGTACAATGCACAAACTAAGTACAGTATCGTCCGATACAAAACTTACGAACTCGTTTAATGTAAAATGTATGGGATAATATTTGTTGGAAGGTGTCGTTACTTGTGTGGTTAGGTGTACGTTGCGATAGAGTGTAAACAATTTGATCTAAGTAGATTGAATTGCTATGTTATAATTATGGAATGCGTAAACGCATGTAGGCGCATACAATTGCCCTTTTGTTTATGCCTTTGGGAATTGTCATTAGTTCGTAATAGATAATATATTTTAATATTAGACCATGGTTATTGCATTAGTAATCATGTAAGTACCTATTTATAGGAGATGGGCGTACGACCCATAGAAGAGATACTTCGGTGTAAATTATTTTGTACAATGTTTAAAAATTTTCTATGTTTGCATCATTATTTTTATGGCGTAACTTTAGTAGGTATAATAATTTTGTTGATTTTTTTTTTCAGTTGCTTACTATTATAATAATTACTGTATGACAAAAATGTGAAACTCTAGATGAATTAGAATGAAATTACGTGTTTCAATGTAAATATATAGACAAAACCTGTATGTAGAAGTACATAAATCGTATTTATGTATTAAATTTGATATTGTTTTCAAAATTTAACTGGTTGTTTTAATTGTACCAAAACCTCTCTACAATATCATAACTTGAAAAAACATTCGTTCAAGAAATATTTGCTATGTACCTAAGTAATATCTACATAATAAAAACATTTGCTCAAACGTGTGACCCACAATCTCTTCATGTTAATGTCTATGTAGAATAATAAAAACTATAGGAACACATTGCAATAAAAAGTAGTATTGATGTTGGCATATCGCAGTAACGCTCTCACTATGACCAACCGCCGCCTACCCGCAACATAACACATTAGTTTCTGAAGGGACATTTTTATTGTTAAACTTTTGGAATATTTAACGCTTTGAAACGAAGATTTTTTTTATTACGCCTTGGTGAAGTTTTTATTATACCAAGAGCTATTTCTAAAGATTTTTATGTCAGTTACAGCCGTATCAAAGTCATCAGTTTATAATAAAGTTACAATATAAAGTAAAAGTTATGATGGCACGATTGTAATCCAGTGAAATGGACAAAGTTGGTGTTGAATGTCAATGGTGTATCGATTTACATTACAATATTTTACTGTGAGTAAAGTCCTACTTACCACAGACTGGAATTAACTGGTACGGCTTTGGTGCAGTCATCCGCCATCCATGAAAAAAGACAATATCGTTTTTTTTTTTACTTTATAACAATTCAGGTCGAAATGTCGGAGTTATTATTCACGAAGGTAAGTAGGTATACATCTTGCGCTGAGTTGAGTTGAGCTCATCATGAACTGGTTCCTAAATGGATCGAATTGAAGGTTCATCAACCATCATGCACGAGGAGAAAGCTTACTGAAAATTATTACAAGAGAAAAAGGTTTTATCACTAATACTGCAATACAACCTTCAATAACCGTTTAAAATCACAGGCTACAAAAGTTTTTACATTCATAAAACGTCAAAAATCGCAAATGGAACTTATCGAATCATTGATCGAATCACATTGACGGTTGATCGCCTGCAGAAAGATTGTGAAAATACTAAATACGGAATAAATTATGCTAGCAAAGGTATTGGGGTTTCGAAGAGGTTTAACATCGGCTATAAGTAGGAGATACGCGTGCGGAACCCTGTGTTAGTATAACTTGTGTTTATTATTTTATTGTACGACTTTTATCATGAAGCATGTCATTTACGATCGATCATCGATACCTACCTACAAAAAGGTAAATACCTAATCTCTACTATGAGTAAGACTGCCTCGTTGGCCGAATAGTCGCAAGTGCGACTGCCGGGCAAGGGGTCTCGGGGTCGGCAACGTACTACTGGGTTTAAAAAAAACCTCAGTAGTAGCACGGAGTCTGGAATCGAGCCCGGTATATGGCAATAGTCTCACTCCCTATTACATGGGACTTATAACATAAATAGTGAAAAGTACATTGTACCGTGGCATAATGTACACCTCTGCCTACCCCTTCGAGGATAAAAGGCGTGATGATGATGTTATCTACTATAAGAAGTGTAAAGCAATACCTAGTGTTTGTCGATATTCGATGGCGACAAGACGTATACATAGGTTTGATAAGTTTTACAGTGCCTCTAGCAGTCGCTTACGAATAACGAAACCAATATTTGACTACCTCGTTATCAAGTGGTTGCAACTGCCACTACCGAGTAAAGGGTCTGGGGTCGATTCCCGGGTCGGGCAAAGTATTGGTGGGAATCTTTCCGGATCGAACATTTCTCAATAGGTAGGTTATGCACGGAGTTTGGGATTATGTCTGGTAAATGGCAATAGGCTCACCAGGGGATAACCCCATGTTTTCATCATGTAAGAATTAAATCACTAGTGAAAGGCGTTTGTACCTTTGTATATAGTATAGCATATTTGACATTATGAGCTATTATTATGTGCACAGTATAAAAAATAAGGAAATCTACTTTATAAAGGAGTCGAGGAGGATCCAGTAAAGGGCCATCACGGGCTACTTATAATAACTGTTTTATGTATGCATGTTTTATTTCCAGTACGTTCAGGTTTTCAACCGAACTCCGGTGTTTTAGCTGTATACGGAAATCGAGTGGCAATAACACCAACCAGGTCCTGTAAGTAGCTTTCTAATAACTTTAAATTTTTACTTCCCTAAATTGTAGACTTACCTACAAATGGTTACTTATCAAGCTATGCAAAACTAATATAAACCGACCATTGAATGTGCGGAATGATTATACAAAATGTGGGAGAGCCATGCTTCGGCACGAATGGGCCGGCTCGACCGGAGTGATGATACCATGGCCTCACAGAAACCGACGTGAAACAACGCTTGCGTTGTGTTTGTCGTGTAAATGAGGTTGCCGGAGGCCCAATTACTGAGTAACTTTTTCTGCACAGACCGCTGCGATGCGCACATGAATGAACTGCCTGTCCCATGCTTACCTTGGGAACCGTGGTACAACGACAAGCAGAGCAAATATAATAAAATCTTAATAGCCGGCATATTATGGTACGTACTCACTTTTTTTTTAAGCGGAAAATCATCCAATGGCTTCTCCCACCTTGCCTAAGGCGAGATGGAGTGTCAGACTCTTACTGACAAAAAACCACCCCGTTCCTACTCCTGCTCTTTGAGCCGGTGCCCCGGCAACCATTTAGGCCTTCCGCGGCTCTGTAATGGTCCCTACTTACTTGGTATGACAAAAGCGGATTAAACCTATGCACTAGGCACGTTCCTCATAGACGTCCCTCATGTTTTGACGCCGCCGTCTCTGTATCCTGGCACCCTAGGCATTTGCCTAGTATGCCTTAGTTTCTCAACTGCTACTGCTCATGTTTGCGAGGATAAATCACTCTGTGATATCCCACTTTACACATGGGCACGCTACAGAATACAGAATATACCGCAGCTATGAAATCAATCTACCTACATACTCAAGTCGATTTTCTTTTTTTTTCAAATATATTTTCAAGCTTTATTATAATATTAACTTTTTGTACAGGTGGCTATTTTCTTTCGGCATGATGTTATACACCGACAGCATCTTCTTGAACTGGGGACCGCCGAGGCAGCCCGGCCCGCCGAGTGACATGGTCGAAGAATGCGACGACTCGGTTTAACTATTTTGAACTGTCTGTCGTTAACAATAAAGTATTTTAATTAATGTTGTAGTTTTTTTTGTCACAATAGACATCCTCTTATCATTAAAAACTTTATGATTCCCAGAGTGATCAGGAATTGAAATAAAGTCAGGTATAATTACGATAAATCGGAGTGATAGTATTCTTAAGGTGGATAGACAGAATAGTAGTGAATAAATACTACAGAGAACTTTCCAATACCTAGAGGTATATAATCCTCATATTCTTTCGACTACCTTCAAAGTATGTAATCCAATTTACTTAAATTAGCTGCGGAGTACAATCGATCTTATGATTACTGGTAAAAGGTCTATAAACCATAAACGTAATCAACCCAAATGAAATAAGAGACAAGTTTCAATTTCTTCCTTTATTTCCATAGAGATAGAAGAATTCATAATTACTACTAGGTAATGTTACATTACAATGCGTTCAACGCGGTCACATAAATCTGTGGATAACGCGTGTCGTAATTGCATTGCGTATGCATTTCATTGCTTATACTGTCCAACAAGTATACAATAAAAACCTTACGTTTTTAAATTGGTTCCAAACATATTTGCGCTACCAATTCATTACAATAGGTACTCAAACCTATATTTATGTTGATAACTGTCATGAGACATACTAAATTAATTATGTTATTCGGCTTACTCACATTATTATTTGACGAGGAACTCGACTAGTTTCAAGCCATGCTAGAGGCTCATATTCATGAGCAGCATTCCGTGACCCGCGACGCGGCTAGTTTCACGCTGCTACGCTGAATATGAGCCTCTAGCATGGCTTAGTCTAGTCGAATTCTTCGTCAAATAATAACGTGACTAAGCCAAAAAACATAATAATTACTCAAGCCTATGTTCAAAGACAAAGCTTCAAAACCAACTGTTGGTCTTGTAAAAAAGGTTGAGACTCAAGCTACGCTTCCAGTAAACGCCATATGAGGACTACCTACCGTGTTATTTACACACTAGAAGCGTTATCAATAATTAATCTTATGGTTTGTTAAAATATTAATGTCGTACCATATGTACGTAAAATTTATGACAGCTTCAGTGATAGGACAATTGGGACAAACATGATTTTGAGCTGGTGATTACAAAAATCGATAGTCCTCATTCCAGGGCGCTTACTCTTGAATCCAATTCCCATCGATCGACATTGATATTGTGAAATTTCGTACTCTTAAGTTGCAACACTTGCGCCCATTACATGCGTATTGCGTGGATATTTAATACTTTAACTGCCAAGTTTAAAATGGTGAAAGTCAAACCTCCACTAGCGTCAGGCACCGGTGACTGACGTGGCGCTCTAAGGGTTAATTAACTAAATGGTATTGAGTTTGGCTTTATATTCCGTACTCAGTTGCTATTTTACGGGGTTGTATAGTTTTGAGATTGAATAATTATTGAGATTTTATTGGATTGACATTGAGATTAGTTTCAAGAGTAAGCACCCAGGTATATCTGTCGCAGCCAACTAGCGTAATAAGTCATTTATAAGCCATTTACCTAACGATCTATTCGATAAGCCTTTTGATTGAATGGCTGAATTTCTCGTTCAGGACGTTAATTGAAGGGTGAAGAGATTGTGATTAAAACAGAGTTGTTACTAGAACAGTAGCTTAGGTTAGGTTAGAACTGCGAAAACTATCAGAAATAAACAGCTACCAACTATTTTACTACGATATCATTAATTTATTAAACAGGCTAGGATACTAATTGAAAGGCTTATTAATTTAATTGACTGCGACGCATCTACGGCTAGGCTGCTGCACTACACTAAGAGCGCGACACAAAGTTAACAATTTCGCAATGACATGTCTGCTTCTACCTCTAATAAATGACGCTAGATTACTTGGAGATCATTTGAGGACACCCATAGAATATGTACACTGGATAAATATGGATGAAAGGCACAACGTAACCCACTAGCATTTAATTTTCACAAAATAAACACCAGTCTACAGCATTTATTTAGAAATGGCTGTAATTCAACATTCATATGACCCCCAACTTCATCAGCGCCATCTATTTTGAGCATTTGTGATTGTCACAACATTCTCTTACACTATACAAAAACAATAATGAACTCTGAAAGTGAACAGATCTTGCACAAATTATCATTTAAATACCTTTCCATAACGTTATTCATTTTTTATTAAAAAAGACAGTAATCATAATGGACGTATACCAGGAGGAAGATTTATCGAAGGTTTTAAACACTGAACATGTGTAAGAACTATTTTAGACACGAAAATAATCACAAAATTGATTTAGATACATAATATATTTTTACATCAGAATAGTCAAGAACTTTAGTTTGAAATCTAAAAGACGGTTTTTTACAAACTTTGTAAGTTAATCATCTATTTCTCAATAGCTAGCCCACCTACGTTTCCTAAGAGTTAAAGTACTAAAACTGGAAACAAGTACATTTATTGACAAAAATATAAGACTCCTAGTTAGTAGGTACGCTATTTCATTGCTTAATATTTGTCACAGCCGAGTTCTCAATATTATTCGAATTTGAACTAAACTGACGTGCTGACAAGTCTCAAGACTCTAGCTGACTGATCATTGTAATCATCGAAATGCTTTAGAATATTGATATTGTAAATAGTTCTTTAAAATCTAGTCAACTATCATAGTCATAGATTCGAAATAAAGCGCTAAATGGAACTATATTAGTGTTTAATATTAAATGAGAGTTATCTACTCTCTGGTTTAGGTTTGGGAGGTTTAAACCCTTGGATTTTTTTCTTCTTTTTCTCCTTACCGCCGCCAGATTGGAATGTCTTCCAGCTGTCCACTCGGTTTTGTCGAGATTCCTGTAACAGTGGATAAAAAGATGAATTACATGATATATCTGCAGATGGACTGAGTGATATGAGAGAAAATATTTAGCAATGTGATGATGGAAGTGAGGACATGAGAAGGGGAAGTGGAAGAAGACATTGTGCCAACCCTAAATATTTTAGGATAAGGTCGGAAAAAAAATAATTGTTCAACACCAAATAAAAATTAGATACCGTTAAGTTTTCAACCGACCACGCTCCCACTGCATTACCTAAAGGTTGGCTAGTAAGAATACCCATGGCATTAAGCCCATGTAATCTTGTTGCATAAAGTTAAATACATAAAATAAAAAATTTACAGTTCACAAATTTACTGTTATACAGTTAAACAGTAACTGATGATTGAAAAATCGGCCCTTAAACATGCAACAAGTGTCTTAACACTTTGCGGTTGTCACATACATCACTAACAATGTGCTGTTAATTTGATTGTTTAGCATCGGGAATAGAAAATATTGAAAAAACATTCTACTAACTACTACAAATAATATCGAAGTTGTTACAGAACAATAAAATTACAGTAAAACTTGAATACAATCAACGATAAAATCGAATCAAAATAATTGAGATAAACTATGAGTTATAACTATAGTAGGTAACAATTCAATGTGAACAAGTGTTTTCGAAGCTAAAACAAAACTGACGATGGATCTTTATAGTTTTGTAGTTGTACATAGAAACTTAATTATCCAATTACTTCTACAGTAGGTATTATAATATACAGTACAGCTACTTAAAAAAAATTAATGCCTGCCGTCGCAAGCACGTCAAACGGGCAAGAGAAGGATTTGAAATTGTATTTTAGAAAATTCTTACTATTGGTACAAAAGCAGTATTGCATGAGACGGGGCCGGTACTTATATATCAGTGAAAAGTAGGTACATGGAATACGTGCGCCACTGCCTACCCTCATGAGAGACAATCGTAAGGTTATGTAACTATATACATAATATGTCGGTATATAGGTATGTACGATATGATACAACACATATGTACGACCCCTTCGAGGGATAATTCACATTCGACTAGCCAAAATTAAAAACACAGAACTTAATGTAGCAATAATGAGTGATCAATGTTTTTCATAGATACAATTAAACAGATAATAGATAGACAAGTTATATTAGTAACCCATTTAAGTTATTAGAAAATAAAGATTTTACCTCAAAATTCTTCGCCCATTCTTTTTCTAATGACTTCTGTTCTTCTTGCTCAATCTCAGCTTCTCGTTTCCGTTTCCTTTCTTCCATGTCACGGACTTCGAGATGTTGGCGCTTTCGTTCCATGTCAGCAAATAACTGGAATTTTTAAAAGATATTACAAACATATTAAAATTATTGCATAATGGCTGTTGCTGTTGGAAGCAGATCGCTTTAAAACAGTGAATCTGGAAATCATCGGGGAGGTCTACTACTACTGGACGTTGTGTGGCCAATATGAGACATTGACTGTGTGTTGACACAATGACTTGGCAACTAACTGGTGTACAACATATCATGGGATTTCAGATTATTGTATAATATAAATGTTAACATGATACACAAAAAAACAAAATGAGACACTTCGTGAGTCTATATTTATTTAAAATAAAACAATAAAATTATAATAATGAGGTATTCAATCTTTCCTGGAAATATTATGTTTTTTTTATGTAATGTTTGTTCCTATTTTTATAATGAATTCGAAAACCTATTATTAAAATTTTTTGTATCAAAATATTTAGAGGAACAAATTATTACAAACTTCATAATCAATGTAATTAAGTACCTACAACCATTATGTACTAAGGTATTAATAAAACAGAATTTAGTAATAACATACACCCATGGAATGAATTGAAATTAAAAAAAAATGTCAAACGAATCAAATAATATCAGTGTTTTAAATAATAAAGAAATGAAAGTAATAATAGTAGTCTTTAATTTTTATACAAATAAGTAAAGAAATTTTAGCAACATACCTTCATGGTCATAACATAAATTGCATGTTTATATTTTACGGGATCATCTTCTGGAATACCTTCTGCTAACTTATTGTCTTTTTTCATCTTTTTCCGTTTTTGTTCAATCTAAAAAAATAACATTATACTATTCATAACATTATAAAAAATACAATAATCATATGGCACATTGTTTGGATAAGTAAATAGATAAATGCAAAACCAATTTACCATGTGATCAGTCCGTTCTTTAGCCTCTTCACAAATATCCAAGCACTTTTTCCTAGTATCATCATTCTCGAGTGTCTTCCAAGCCCTGTTTACTATCTCAAAAGCCTGTTGAGCTCGTTCAGAATCATCCTGAAAAATAATAATAGAAAAATACTTACTCATTACATATTTTAAGTAAGTTTGCATTTGTCTGGCTATACTTTATTTGATGAACTAACTCTGATAATGTTTTAATTTTATAATGCTTTCATTGTTTTGCATTTTAATGGCACCTACGATCCGGTGCTTCTCCTTACCTATTACTGGATGTGTCAGGATGTCCCGCGGGATGATCAAATCTGTGGATAAAAACGGAATGTTGACGGACATATCCGTCTAAACAAATACGAAAACTCCTGACTTGATAACTAATCGAACATTTTTTTACTAAACTACAACAGGGAATTTTTTTTATTGTTTACTATATGTTGGTTTGGTCAATTGGAATTTATCTACAAATAACCTTTAAATAAAAGTTTATAATGAAACTTGAACAATTTTAGGCAAAGTGTAATAGGCCTCACTATTAGTAGAAATGTTAAAAATAAAATTGTTGTCTTACCATATTTTTGTCTGGATGAACTAATATGGATAACCTTCGGTATTTTTTCTTGATCTCATCAAGAGACGCATCGGGCTCTACTTGTAGTACCTCGAACGGATTAAGATTAAAATACGTGGACCCTGGTCGTAACAATCTATCAAGTTGCTGTTTAGGGGTCAACACAGAGTCACGTTTTTCAATCTCTTTGACCTGCAAAACGAGTGTAAGCATATAGAATAGAAGTCAAGAACCGTCGCATGGTATTTTTCCTATGTATACAAACTGCAATATTTACATTTGATTTCATAGATTATCTAACAATGAACATTGGCATCCAATGAACGATAAATGAATGGTGAAATATTAATAATAAAATAAAAAAGGAAACAATTAATAAAGTGCAATTGTTGATACAAATAAGGATATTACAAAATAAAAACCTCACCTCCGTGTAAAATTCATCGAACGAATCCGACTTCGCGGCAGATGTTGCAGACATTTTTGCATAAAGTTTATCTCTTTAACATGTAAAATATTATTCGAAACCAACTACAATTATCGTACAAAACACACAACGCCACTGCGACTAAATACGTTTCACGATTAACATTTCACAATACACTTTACACAATTGTAGAGTATTCAATTGGGCATTGACATTAGTTAGTTCCATAGAGTTTCGCAAAATAGAAATAAATTTATAAAACAACTGAGTTGCCAAGCGCAAAAATATATAACATTTAATTCGGAATACTTGGTTTATATATTCTTAAATATAAGTTATAAAAATAAAATTAAACATATAAAAAGAAGTAGCCCACTCGTAATGGGAGAAATCCAAGCTACCGGTCAGGGCTCCAGAGAGAGGAATTTCCGTACACGACGCGCCATGTCCAGATGTCGACAATCCCATGAACTAAATCAAGATTTTATTCAGCTTTCACAACATTCTCGTCATGGGGGATTTTATATCATATAATATAATCATTGTATATTATATCATATAATATATCATTGTATATTATATCATTGTAGGTATATTATATCGTTGTATATTGTATCGTTGTTCAACAGCTTGGTCGGTCTATTACCACAAGGTCAGCTTTGTTTGCAATAATTGTTCTACCTGTGGTGATAGTTCGATCCCAATACAGTGTAATATCTCCATTGTCTAGAACTGGGTTAGGCAGATACTTATAAGATTGCACTTCAGATTCAAATAAGTTTTAAATTATATTTTAAGCCTTTGACTGCCGACAGAAAACTGTTGAAGGCAAATTCACCGCTAACGTACCTACGTTAGCGGAGGACTTGCCTCACCGGTGACCTACGTGACGGTTAACTATGCAAGTATTCTCCATTAACTAGGTGAGAAAAACCCAAAATTATATTATGCCGAATGGATTCCCCGGGACGATGACATGCCCGACAAATGTCAACTGTTCCATCTTTTATAATAATTATTATCCCCGATAGTTGTTCGTCAACATAATTTCGTTCGTAATTGCACAGACACAACCTTCCGTTTTTCTCACAGACTTAAAATAGATAAGCAGACCCAACATTAGCTAAAATTTGTGAAGCCAAAAACACAAGCGTAGTATAAAGCGTAAACGGGGCCGGACCAAGGTTTAAAAATAAAGGACCCTGTTGATTCTACAAGTACTTGAACTGTCATGAATGAAAAATTTAGGTGATTTTAGATGTTTATTATTTTTGTACATTGTATTCTAAGTAAACTTATGGGCAAATGGCGTGATAGTTGATAAGGCTTCGTTATAAACGATAAAACATTATTTTAACGTAAAATGATAAACAATTAATATTTTATGACGATATTGACACAGTTGTAGGTTAAGATAGTAATATAATAAAATAAAATAAAAATAAAAATGAAAAAGCCTTATTTTTCCCAATTAAAAAGAAATATACATTTCCAAAAAACAAAACCATATTATTTTATATTAAGTTTAATTTTTAGGGAACCCCTGAGGCGAAAGCCTCCTCCAGAGTCTACCATCTTTCTCGATCTTTTGCTGTATCTAGCCAGCGTACTCCAGCCGCACGTAGGATTTCGTCTTTCCATCGTGTGTGCGGTCTTCCTCTTTTTCTTTTTCCTATTGGTCCTTTCCATGTTGTAATTATTTTTGTCCATTGTCTTGTAGGCTTGCTACATGACCTGCCCAACAAAAAAAACTAGCTATATCTGCAGAAGGGCCCTGTGGTCAAGTATACGAAGAAACAAAACAATAAAATCAAACAAAACATTGAAGAAACAAAACGTCTGTTACCGTCATTCGTTGTCTGTCACTTCTGATTAGATCATCATATCAGTATCAGTGCTGTCAAGTGATAGTGAGTCCCTATACTTATTATACTCTTTGGTTACTTGCTTGTTAGTCGGTGATACTTTGTTCGGTGCCCGGTAGCTCGGTGCCTTATCAGTCTGTGGCCATAACTTCAGTTACTTTTCAGGTCTTATTGCTACTTGTTGCATACAACAACGCATAATAAAATTAAAGTAATCAGTGATCAACACTTAACTTAAAGGTAACTATATACTGTTCCGTTTGCATATTTGGTTGAAAACCAAGGTTGTATTTTTATTGTCAAAAAACATCGTACATCATGATAACTAACATATCGCGAAGTTGTCTTGTGACTGTAATTTGTAAAGCGAAGTTTTTTTTTAAGTACGTACTTACCTATGCTACCTTTTGTAACTATGGCATTAGTGGTTGGAGTGTAGGATAATATTGTAGTACAATCATAGGTGGATATTAGCATTTCAGCTATTAAAATATGATAGTGGGCATATTTTTTTTTTATTTATTTTATCTACTGCCACATTTACAAACTAATGAATTGAGGAACAAAATTAAGTTCCTGTTCTGTCATCAAATTTATCATCTTTTAAATAATGGGCCTGGTAGCAAAGTTCTAAATATAAACTAAAATTTTAAGTAGGTACAAAATTGCCGCAATAGATAGTAATTATTTTACATCTAATTCTATATACAATCCAGGAAGTTCTTGTACTTAGGTGATTTTACTATGAACTTGTTGTGTACTGTTATTATAGACACAATTAAAGAACAATAGGTTGCGGTCACCAGTGACCGCTGGGTATTTGACAGTTTAAACTGTCAAACACCAAGCGGTCACCGGTGACCGCGACCTATTGTTCTTTAATTGTGTCTATAAAACTGGTACTCGACGAGTTAAATTGCACAAACAAGCTAAGTGTTCAATATGCACAAGAAAACAGGGCATAAAAGTAGTAATGTCTTCAACTCTTAATAGATAAACAATTACTTAGCCGTTAGACCCCTAAATATGCCACTGGGAAATGGTTGATTGGATAAACAGTGTTTCTGGCGACAGATTGGTGCAATGGTGTCTTGCACCTGGGCGCTTACTCTTGAAACAAATCTCATTGTCAATATAATTTCAATCCCATAAAATCTTAATTATTATTCAATGTTAAAACCATACAATCTCAATCGTAGCTGTTAATACAGCATTCAGGATATGGAATATAAAGCCAAACTCAATACCATTTAGTTCATTTCATATCTATGCAAAACAAATGCAATGGATGCCAGTGTTGCTACTCAAGAGTATGAAATTTCACTATATCACATATATAATGACAAGGGCATGGACACGAGTCCGTGGACAAATTAATTATTTATTAAAAAAAAAAATCACAATATCAACATTGATCAATCGGAATTGGATTGGCCTCCTGGTTTTGCACCCTTGTGTACCCTTCAACGACCAAGTCACACAACATTAACTATAATAATAAAGCAATTCCAGTAAGGAACCTTAGACTTGGTATGACTTTGTCAAGATTTTGTACAGCTGAGACCTGCTGATGGTTCTTCATCAAATTCTTCAGACCTTTGATTTTTAACATTCAAATGAAGCGGCCCACTGCACCGAATATTGCAAATAATAATAATAAATGCAGTACAAGTCAATCTGTAATAGTTGGGATCTTGTGGTTTATAACTAGGATCATCAGGTACTTCAGATCTTCGATTATCCTAGTTTTTATACTTTTCCTTTCATGTAGCCATTAAACTGTAACTCTGTAACTCTGGGAAATACCAGTTCTATTTTGATGATCATGAGTGAGTGAGTGTCATAAATGCGAAACTTTGCTTTTGCATAACTTTAGAAGTCAATGACCTACAGAATTGAAATTTTGAATTTTAAGTACCTATGTGATTATAGCTTACTGCATGATGAAAATTTCTGACTTCTGGTATAAGACTATTCAAATTAGAAAATGCAACAAAACGAAAATTGTAATGTATGTTTATTTTTTATATGGACAACATACCGACATATGCAACATACCGACATATGAAATGTTGCTGTTGGTTCCAGAACCAATTCAGCCAGCTGAATTTGACCCAGTTGTCTTTAGTCTTACAAGATTTTGTTTTGTATTTAAATACAAATACTTAGGAAAGAACAAACTGAAGAGTATTGATTTACATCATGAATTAAGATTAGCACAAGTCTTATCAGTTCAAGGTGAAGATATAACTTTGAATAATCAAATTTCTTTTTTAATACTTTAAAACAATGCTCGTGAGCGAATTATTTCGGCCACTGGTTTATAACAAGATACTTTGACTTGCCTTTGACGTGAATCGAGTCATCCAGAAGCTAGCACAAGTAAACTAACACCAACTCAGACATGTCAACAGACATAGACAGTTCAACAGATACAGACATGTCAACAGACACAGAGCGCTGGAGCTAAAACAAGTGCATGTGATAGTACTGAAATTAGTGCTCTACATGATACATTAATACATATAATCAACTCTATTTATACTGTGAAAAAAGAAAATCCTTGTATAAATGACATATTTGCCATAGCATGTCTGAGGCGACTTTTGTTAAATGTACTGGGGTATAAATTTCGAAAACAATCAATGTCTATAGAGGTAGAATAGACATGTTCTTATTGAAAGGTCTGATGTAAAAGCTTACCGTGCAAAATATTTACGGCGTATGCGCGATAATGAGGCGTTGGGGGCTGATAAAAAGCCTGTCATTTATTTAGATGAGACGTGGTTACATGCTCATTACAGAACAAAAAGTGTTGAGAACTGATTCCAGCACCAAAAATAAACAAAAGATACAAGACACTGCTAAATTGGATAATAGCTCATGCTGGAAGTGAAAATGGTTTTGTAGATGAAGCTCTTCTAATGTTTACATCTGATAAAAAAACTAATGATTATGATAACCTTTTACAAGAGCGGAACTTTACAAATTAATTAAAAAGAACAAACCGCCAAATACTTATGTTACAGATAGCATTTTTAATTATTATGGTTTTGAAGTGTTGAGGCTGCCACCTTAGCATTTTGATTTAAATCCAATGAATAGTATTTGGAACTTAATTAAGCATAAGCTGGCAGACGCAGATGTCTCGTGGCTAGAAAACTGTTCTGCGCACCTTCTACTAGAAACAATTACTTCAGTTACTAAAAATGTTTGGGAAACAGAAATAAGTCGTGTAAAACAAAGAGAGAAATAATACTGGGAAAGGGAGAAGATTGAATATGATGATAACTTAAATTTTGACGTAAATATGGGTACCTACCTAATTGTATTTTTTTTGTAACTATCTGTTATATACCTATTATACTTTGGCACACTATTGTTTGGCCTAATTTTATGTTCGTATAACGTACTAGCTTTCTGCCAGCGACTTCTTGCGCACAAATAGGGAATTCCCGTTTTTACTGAACCCGTAGGATTTTAAGAAAATCCTTTTTAGCCCTCTCCTACACCCTTTAACATAATATGTATACATACCTATACCAAACAGCAATCGACGACCTGTAATTTCGGCTGTGTGTTGTATAAGTGAGTCAGTCACTCAGTAACTGAAGTGTTTAATTAATCGACTTCAAAAAAGGAGGTTCTCAGATTGACCTATATGTAATATGTAGGTATGTACATACAAACACAAACAAACAAACATTTGTTTGGACGCGAATATCTCGTAATTGTCTGAACCAATTTGATGTGCTTTTCAGAAAAGTTTGTCACACTTAGGAGTAGGTTTTCGTATATTATTCACCGACTTAAATAAGAGGAGGTTGAAGTTGGCTTTTTAAACGTATAATAGATAATATTATTATGCATAACAAGTTTACACATAATTTATTCTAGTCATTCCCATTCCGCTGTCCTAGACGTTATCTTTCCAATTCATTATTTCGTACGCTTACAATTTTATTTTGTCAATCAGGTAACCTACATCATGTTTGCAAACAAAGTGGTACTGATCACCGGCGCCAGTTCGGGAATCGGAGCTGAAACTGCTCTAGACTTCTCAAAACTTGATGCTAAATTGGTAATTACCGGAAGAAATAAACAAAATTTAGAGAATGTTGCTAAACAATGCGAAGAAAATTCACCAAGCTGTTTAAAACCACTGATCGTAATCGCCGATATGAATAATGAAAGTGACGTAGAGAACATTATTAAAACTACTATCAACGAATTCAAGCAACTCGATGTCTTGGTGAACAATGCTGGTGTTCTTGAATCTGGTTCCATAGAAAACACTTCACTAAATCAGTACGATCGAGTGATGAATACTAACGTCCGAGGACCATACCATCTTACAATGTTAGCTACTCCTCACCTCGTAAAAACAAAGGGAAACATAGTTAACGTATCCAGTGTGACTGGCTTACGATCTTTTCCAAACGTTCTTGCATACTGCATGTCTAAATCTGCTCTGGACCAATTCACGAGGTGTGTTGCTTTAGAACTGGCACTAAAGGGTGTTCGTGTTAACGCTGTGAATCCTGGTGTGATAACTACAGGTCTTCATATGAAGTCTAGTATGAATGAACAGGAATACGAAGAATTTATTAAGAATTGTGCGCAAAGCCATGCCTTGGGTAGAGCCGGTGATGCAAAGGAAGTTTCATCGGTGATTGTCTTTCTAGCAAGTGACGCTGCTAGTAACATGACGGGTGTTACTTTACCTGTTGACGGGGGACGCCATGCTATGTGCCCACGGTAGAACTTCTAAAGATTACAAATATTTTATTTTTATAAATTGTTGAGAGTATATATTAAAATTAAATATAATTATTATAGATCGTTTTTTAATTATCTCACATGTCAGAACCTCAAAATCAAGTAATTGACACAACATTGATACTTGTGGTAGATAATTGTTCGAATACCGAATGTTATAGGACTCATCATTCAATTCATAACAGTGGATAGATTAGCTATCTATTCACTTAATATTCTAATTTTTTTAGGGCTTTAGGTAATACGTTAAATATGCACAATAGGTACTGTAATTCACTTCTTGAAATTAATGTTATATTATTGTTTTGTTGATCGGTACCTACTGCTATTGATGACTTCAATCACAACTTGAGTCTGGAAATGTGTCTGAATAAAATCCTTTTTATTATTTAAGTACTTCCGCTTGGTTTCACCTGCTACTCGGCTCCTATCGGTCGTAGTTGACGTTTTATAGCCTACAACCTTCCTCTATAAATGAACTAACTAACACCAAAATAGTGTTCAATTCGAACCAGTAGTTAACGTTCAAACAAACTCTGCAGCTTCATAAATAATAATTATTTTAGAAGGTATTGATAAAATAGGTATACCTTTTTTCCTATCGCGTAGTCCTCATGGACATCCCACGTCGTGTGGACGACGTGGAAGCGTGCCGGACTCTTACCGGCTAAAACCACTCTGATGTTCTTCCAATGCCTGTGACCGTGACACGGGATGCCCTTACCGAATCACCAAATAGGTATACCTATTTAATTACAAAAAATAAACTTGTTTCTTTTTGTTTAAATCAGGTAACCAGAATGTTCGCCAATAAAGTAGTTCTAATCACGGGAGCTAGTTCAGGCATTGGAGCAGATACTGCTGTAGAATTTTCTAAGCTAGATGCAAAACTAGTTTTGACAGGAAGAAATAAAGAAAACCTTGAGAAGACCGCACAAAAATGCGAAGATGTATCTCCACGCAAGCTAAGGCCAGTATCTGTTATTGCAGACATCGTCAATGAGACCGACGTTGAAAAGTTATTGGAAGAAACGATTAATCACTTCGGGCAACTTGATGTCCTGGTTAATAACGCCGGTATTATGGGACTGGGGTCTATAGAGGTAACTTCTCTTGATCAATATGACAGAATTATGAATACAAACGTACGAGGGCCGTATTATTTAACTATGTTGGCCACACCACATCTTATTAAATCTAAAGGGAACATAGTAAATATATCCAGCGTGGCTGGGATCAGATCATTCGCTAACTTTCTTGCGTATTGCATCTCTAAAGCTGCATTAGATCAATTTACAAGATGTGTGAGTCTAGAGCTTGCCAGTAAAGGAGTTCGGGTTAATGCAGTCAATCCGGGTGTGATTGAAACTGGCATACACTTAAGAGGTGGAGTCAGTGAAGAAGATTATGCAGTGTATTTGGAAAAATGTAAAGAAACGCATGCAATAGGAAGGACAGGAACTACTAAGGAGGTTGCGGATGCGATTATATTCTTGGCAAGTGAAGGTGCTAGTAATATTACCGGCGTAACGATGCCTGTAGATGGCGGCCGCCATGCAATGTGTCCTCGATAAATTAATGGACGAGTAAACGTTCATTGAATAATATCAAACATTTTAGATACAAAAACCACGGGTAGCTAGGCAGCACTATCAAAGAAACAATTATTTTGATTAATAGTGTTAAGTATGCATACATAATATATTGATTTGGTGAATAAAGGTTTTATTTTTAGCTAGTTTCAAAATGTTTACTTAATTTTATATAGTAAAGTAGGTATCTATCCAGGTACAGGCGATGTGCCAGAAAAAACCAGTATTATTTCTGTACTTCGATATTTATTGTCTTAAAATAAATTTACAATGCAGGCGGTGTTTGAATTATGGGTTTGCCAGTGAGTGCATTAAAGATTCCAGTTGCTGAGCAGCTACCAATTTCGACGATGATCTTACCAGTTTGGATTCCGGTCTGAATCAAACGCATTCCGGCGCATACATCAAGGGCGGCTGGTAACGAACTAATTCCAATGTTGATGCGTCCAACCTGAAAAATAAAGCGTAATTTTCTGTTATTAGGTAGGTACTAGGATACCTAGGATATATAAATCCTAAAACCCTGAAGAGCATTCTCAGCAATTGTTCTTGCGACCAGTCGGTCAATATTATTAGACAAATAGGCATAAAATTGAATATGACGAGGTATGTACGTAGATGTAGAAGAGAAAATAAGCAATTCGAAAGGTAAAATAAAATTTTAATAGTAGTAGGTAAGTCAGCCGATCTTGGGAAGTTCTATAGTATCTATTCATCTCTCTTCTGTATCTTTTCACTGTGCACCTCTCATATTCTGTTTCATGATACTCACCGTCATTGCAGATTGGCCAAGAAAACCAACAGATTTTAACTCGATCTTCACAGCGACTTTGGCAAGGCAAGCTCCAACAGTCAGCAAGTTTGTGTTATTTGTAGTACATTCCTTCATGTCATCCATTGCCAAATTGCCAGCAGCTACTGCCTCTTTGGCAATTGTCATCAAGTGATTGATTTCCTTAGAGACATCGGCAATTCTTTCATCGACGCAAACCAATGTACTGGCGAGTGTTTCGTTGAAAACTGATGCAGCAGCGCTTCTATGAGACTGGGAATTGAAATAGCTTTGTAATATACATACCTATATAGGCAGGCAAGTTAGGCAACTAGGTCCTATACTGAATGTAACAAAGGTTACAAAGAAAATATAACATTCTTTTGAGTTAGATTGGGGTATTGGATATACCTACTGATGATACATCACTAATATCATATTTTAATCGACTGCACGGTTGCTGCTGCTGCTGGGCAACCGGCTGTCGTGTAACGTGTCGCGGGTTCCATTCCCGCACGGAACAACACTTTGTGTGATCCACAAATTGTTGTTTCGGGTCTGAGTGTTATTGTGTATGTGAACTTGTATGTTTGTAAACGCACCCACGACACACAAAAAATAACTAGGTATATTATCGTAATGTAGGTATTGCAAATGTCACGCAAGAAATACCATTACACTGCTGTACAAATAAAGCATAAGGCGAATGATATTATGGTAGAATGAATGTCTATATTCATTACCGGGTATTTTGGTATTATGGTGTTTTCGCTAATGTTCTCGTGTTCTATGTATTTAGGTGCCTAATACATAAAATACATAGCCTATTTACATTAGATTAGGTTGGAACCTAGTATATTGGTACTTACATCCACACATTCCTTGACCGCTACATTGGTGTTAGAAATCCTTTTCATCACATTTTCCACAGCTTCAGTCACCCGGTTTCTGAATTTCTGCACGTCAGCTATGATTTTGTCTCTTATCGCCAGAACTTCGTTTTTGATGCCTGCATTGAACGTAGCAACTGAGTCTATAGCTTCTTGTCCGGACTTGCGGAGATTGTCCACAAGTTCTTCGATAAGTTTGCTAGAATATAACAAAAAAATATATATATATTTTATTGAGCTAAGAGGAGCTACTTAGGTAAGGGTCCAAGTATTTTTGAGAAAATTAAAGCTTAGTTTAGTTGTATTGATTTTCTTATTTGAAGATCTGGTATTATGTAGGTAAGTACCTAAATCCGGATTCGTATAGTCCTAAAAAGTATAAAATAAAAGAAAATTTAAAAATCTCGACATAAAAAGTTTGCTTTTTTATATTTGAAGGGCTGAAAAAAGTAAAAGCTTTTAAAAAATAAAAATAACCTACCTATCCTAAAAATATATTCACTGGGAGAGCTTCGCTTCAAACCTAAATGCCAGGTACCATACAGACTAATATGCACTATGCAGGAATGATGAACCGACATACTGCTCCCGCCTGGGTGAGGCGGGAGGGAGTGTCAGACTCTTACTGACTAAAAACCACCCCGTTTCTTCTCCTGCACGTCGAGCCGAGCCCCGGTAACCCGTTAGGTTCTCCGCGACTAAAACACTAAGTATAGGTAGGAACCTATCTACGTATCTGGTGAGACTAAGAAAATTGAAAATCTTGATAGTTCAAACAAGGCATAGCGAAGTAGCCTACCTATAATGCCCGAAATATAGAGAAGGTATTTAAGTAATTATGTAACTACTATCTAAATTGTTCTGGTTACCTTGTATCAGCCACCAGGTTGACATCCCGTTTTAGTTGCTCAATACCTTCCACTTCTGGTGCAGCAAGTGCCGAACACACCTGAAAGAGGTAACATAGGTATTATTCGGTAAACAATAACTCAAAAGGGTCACAATGAGGTTTATTTTTACTTTTTTTTGAGAGGGAAAATCTTCTACTTCTCCCGCCCGGGTGAGGCGAGAAGGAGTGTCAGACTCTTACCTACTGACTAAAAACCACCCCATTCATCCTCCTGCACTGCACTTCGACGCGGAGCCCCGGCAATTCAGAATGAGGTAGTTAGTAGATATACCTACCTACCGATTTTGGTCAGCTTGATCAGCATAGGTAGATAGGGTCAGGGATCAGCATGGGTAAGATAGGTCAACGTCATCGTTTCTGACTTGGATGTAGCGTCTTTCTAATAGGTATGCTACAGAACTATTTATTCTGGCTGCCTACTTTCTTTCTTAGCAGCTGCTGTGGAAGGTAGGTCCACAGAAATATTAAAAACTTCCTTTTATCTACATAGGTCTAATGGTCTACTCTTTAAATCGCAGTAAAAAAATGTAAGTACCTAATGACAAAAATTTTCGACCAAACAAAAATGAAGTAGGTAGGTAAGTATCTAGATGTGATGTGTCTAGGTACGACATCTCAGTGAAACACAATGGGAAAAGGAGATAAAATAATTAAGTATCTTACCACAGCAAAAACGCACAACAAAGTCAGCGATTTCATGGTGAATTTGACAAAATGCTTCGAGAACACCAAATGATCTGATGCTGTACGATAACATCCCTAAGGTTTTTATACTACTTTTAGTAAAACATTGCGAGTTATTTTGCCATAGAACAAATAGCACAATCTTATCTATATGTGCACCAATTTTAATATTTAAATAGCTTAAAATTTTATTGTTACTCAATTTAGACGCTATTTGCTTGTTTGTAATCGATTGCAACAGGTTTGGTGGTCGTAGGATTACATTTAGAGATAAACAGTATGAGTAGATATGAAACCACCAACTTGTGGAAGCTGTATGGATGAATTTATATTTGTTGTATTTTTGATGATCCGACATTTGACCACTATCTCGCCTGGTTGTAAGCGATGATGTGGTCTATGATGGATGATGATGTATTACTGATAAAGGTACCTAGATTTACTCAAGGGTTTACTAAGATTGGCTACAGAGTCTAAAATAATTTCAGTGTGTATGACAAAATAAGACATTACCTACCTTCAGTTCTTAAATATCTCAGTTAATGATTTCAGTTTGTATGAATTTGATACAGTCTAAATCAAAAATAATTCATCAGAAGATCGCTCGGTGACGCTCTGTTAACTGTAGTTTCTGTCTATCCCCATAGAAACGACAGCGACAGCGTTTACTTAGTTCATATTTCATGTAGGTAATTAGTACATAAAAACATCTACCTTTCTACCTCTATTTTACTCGGGAATTAAGTAAGTGTCTGTACTTATTTATACCACCTACACTTCTTTTGGACAAAATTGATAGAAATAAGTATATTGTCTTGCAGATTATTTTAGTTTCGTAACAGTGCGATATCTCAAATTGATGAAACAATTAAGTACCTACCTACTTGACGAAGTCTCAAGGTTTGTCAAATAAAACATTTTTATCGCGTATCGCAAATGATATTGCAGTAGGTATAGTAGAATTATGTAGAAATATTTACTTTTATGCCTACCATTTGAATGTCAACAAACCGAAGAACTGTAGTTCAATGCCCTACATTTACCTACTTATTAAAAATTCTAGAACTACGAGTGGGTATGTGGTAGCTACCCAGGTTTTATTAGGGCGTAGGTACTGGTAAGTAAGTAGGTATTCACACATCACTTAATTCAATAAATAGTACCAGGCAAAGAATTAATGCGTCATGGAATTCCGTGACCTAATTTATGTTAGTGAAATTGTATTTGTAAAAGGTTTTTCAATATCGTGGATATTTATTACAGTCACGATGTCCAGACATCGTGCCCGTACATGTCTATAAAATTGACATAGGAAATTGTATTATACTTTTATGCCCATGGACATGGATGGGTGTCCATAGGCGATGGGGGACGGGGTTCCGGGTAGAAGAACAGAGACGTTACAAGTGCGTTACCGGCCTTTTGGGGATTAGGAATTTGAGAAATGTTGGGACTTCAGGGATTGGGCACATTGGGGAGGGGGTGGGGTGTTATTGGGTCACCGGAGGTAACCCAATTCTCACGACACACAACGCAAGCGCTGTTTCACGTCGGTTTTCTGCGAGATCGTGGTATCACTCCGGTCGAGCCGGCCCATTCGTGCCGAAGCGATACCGTTTTGGGATTTTTTTTGTAGGGGGGAAAATCATTCAATGACTACTCTCCATCGTGAGGCCAGAGGGAGTGTCAGACTCTTACTGACTAAAAACCACCCCGTTCCTACTCCTGCACTTGCCGAAGCCGAAGCCCCGGTAATCCGTTCTAGGCGGTAAGGTAAGTTCTACACGGCTCACAGTATTTGGGCGTACCAGTTACATAAACAATGTAATGGAGGTTTCCACCTTCTTTGGATATTAAAAGCTGTGATAATGTGTGCTCTTATGCTATTAAAATGTTATGAAAAACCAGATAACTATTTGACATTTGCTACGATATGTAAGTACCTACCAAAGTAGGTACTCACAAAAATGGTAGAACAGCACAAATGCCACAAAATATGTGATATAGTGCCAATGTACGTAGAATGGCGCATGTTGTCGTGTTGACCGAGATAGTCTAATGTCCTAATTAGGTAGAGATTAAGTCAGTGGGTAATTGTTTATTAGATTTACTCCAATTATAATATCTGCCCTGCTTTTTTTCAAGGTTGGCAAAGATCTTGTTAAGTAGGTAACTACCAACTAGTTATGTACTAGGGGTTTACATTGCATCATTTGTGTGTGTGTGTACCTATGTAATTCGTATTACTATCCGTGTGACGACAGGGTAGAATTAACTAGATAGCCGTTCTCACAGACCTTGTAAGAAGGGACAACACATTTGACAGTCTCTATGATAAACTTAATTTAACCAGTTTTCCCAACACTCTTACGTAGAAGACGTAAGGGGACCATAATAATCTAGCATTGGACTGCTATAACCCATTTATGATGAATCTCGTATTACATAAATATGTAAATGTAGATTTATCGTTCGCAGTACGCGGTCTTCCAGTCCTTCCCGCTTTAAAATGTTGAGCGCCTGTCATTAAACATTAGCAAACATTAGTCCAACTTATCTCTGCGACTCAGTACTTTGCAGGCGCAAATTTATATGTAAGTAGATAGGGTTCCTTACTTTTGTTCCGTTGAAGGCATTTATTACTTTATATTTAAGTAGTTGGAATAATAACGACAAAAAATTTTCTCATTAAAATGTCATTGAGCTTTTGTAGCTGGATTATCTATCTTGTATCGTAACTAATTCTAGGTGTTGTAATCAGGCGATATATTACTGTGATGTCGAGGTTAACATCCATATTAAAGTTCAGGATCTACTTATTAAATACGAGTAATATATGATAGTTAAGTAATCCATGTAATAACTACCTGTGGTGTAGTATTAGGCATCTAGGACAAATGAGCGGTTAATCAATAAATGGTCATGCATTTATAGGTTTCTGTAATATCTACATAGGTGTATGTATTTAATAGTTACGTACCTACTTATGTAGGTACTCATAAATTGCATTATGTAATCTATTTTCTAGGAATTTACGAAACTTGGTCCGCCTTATTTACCATCACTTGTTTCTGTGTACATTAAAGTTTAAATAAAAAAAGTATTATAGAAAAAAAAACGATTTAATTTTAAAAAATAACTAATTGCTTTTTGTCATCGTTTCGTTTACACCATATATTATTGTTTACCTTGTTTAGTTTAGACTGCCTCGTTGGCCGAGTGGTCACAAGCGCGACTGCCGGGCAAGGAGTCTCGAAACAAAGGCAGAATATAACTTTGGTTTTTAATAAAACTTCTTAGTTGTAGCACGGAGGCTTGAATTGAGCCCGGTATATGGCAATAGGTTCACCCCCTATTACATGGGACTCATAACATAAATAGTGAAAAATAGATATTACATTGTATTGTGGCATTAAGTGCCGTACACCTCTGCCTACCCCTTTGGGGATAAAAGGCGTGATGTCATGTTGTCATAGGCACAATGATGACTAACAGATCTAATAATTTAAGGTACCTTACCTATAGCTTGAGAATACAGTAGGCCATGGATTTCCAGAAGTGTACACTACCATTTAGGTATACCTACTTACAAACAAAGCATTGCGTATTTTCTTTTCCACTAGATCTTTATACAATATCTATCTATATTGTTTCAACTTTGTTCGTTTGACACCATTGTTAGGCTTACGTAAATTGACTTGAGGTCGAATTATAAATATAAACTTATAATTTTCCCACGCGTCTCCAAAGGAAAGAAAATCTTAGGTATCTTTAGAACATTCAATACATATAGTTATCTAAATCGATATTTGTAATTTTCTTTTATAATATAATAACAATAAACGTTACCGTTGTATTTAAATGAAACAATTTAAAACTGTTTAAGACTGCCTCGTTGGCAGCGTGGTCGCAAGTGCGACTGCCGGGGCAAGGGGTCTTGGGTTCGATTTCCGCGGCCGACAAAGTAATATTGGGTTTAAAAAAATGTCAATAGGCTTACCCCTATTACATGGGACTCATAATATGAATAGTGAAAAGTGGGTGTTACATTGTACAGTGGCATTAAGTGCTGTAATGTGCATTTCTGCTTACCCCTTCAGGGATAAAAGACATGATGTTATATTTAAAACTGGTTTCAATAAATACAACATGGACGTTTCTTAATTTATGGATACATTAGTCTTTGTATTTATGCACAAACATTTTTCTCAATCCTTCAACTAGTAGGCCTATTATAAATAGGTAAAGTATGTATGTATTTAACTGTTTTAAATGAACAAGGAAACATGTTGGCTGACAGCTAATTGGAATTGTAAATTGTTGTGTACAATTAGATGTTTTGTTTGTTATTAGGTACTTCATGGTAACTAATTACTTACAAAGTAAACAAGGATTTTTATGATATCTACCTACAAATGGAACACATTACAAATTCTGGACGGAAAATGGTGAAAATCGGAAAATCTGATGACCCGTTTTTAAGGTAAATAATAAATTAAGAATATCCTTAGGGTTCTGTCATCGGCAACCTGGTACGCTCGCAACTCAGAAATCCACGAATATTTGCAAATTCCCACTATACTGGATGAAATAAAGAAATACTCAGCCAACTACAGGGACCGTCTGATAGATCACCCAAACCCATTGTCATCAATGCTGTTGCAACCAAACCAATTTAGACGACTCAAGAGGGCGGATGTGCTAGATAACTAAGGGGAGTCGGAGTAATGGCTCCTCCTCTCCAAACCCCAGCAACAATAACAACAAACCTGATTATAGTCGTACAGACTGATCGTAGGATAAACCCAAAAAAAAACGGGAAAGCTATTTTTAAATTAACAGTTGACTTAATTTCATGGCAAAAAGGCAAAAGGCTAATTAACGCCATCGAGAAGTTTTGAGCGCATAAACATGTGAGCGATAATTTTTCAACCGATTTTTTATTGATCTACTAGCTAAACTAAACCGAAAAACTTCCTACCGTCTAAGAAGTTCTTTTCTCACGTTTTAAACCTTCCCTGGACTTCCATGAACATTTCAAGACCAAATTCAGCCAAATCGGTTCAGTCGTTCTCGAGTTTTAGCTAGACAAACGAACAGCAATTCGTGTTTATATTTATGATGATATGATATTTGAAAACTTAAAACTTTAATCACATTTATCCTCAACCTGGGGGCTTAACCTATTACTTTACAGGCAAGGCAATCAAAGCTAAAATATTAC